TTTCCCCTTTGATATCGATCTTTGAAAATCTTAAATGAAATTTCTACTGCTATTTTAATCGAGAGTTTTCGTAAGAAATTCTGATTTCCTGCGATGTAATTAACTACGAGGGCTTGCGCTCGTAGGAGATTTAGTAACCCAGATTAGATTTTCAAAATCAAAACTTTTCAAAAACTCTAATTAGTTCTCTTTGGAAAATTTAAATTCAACGATCATTTTCATCATTTTCAAATGATCAATAGTGATTGATAATTTCTTTCCTCGGATTGATATATCAATTATTATCGTGATTTTGATTATGAAATTAATAATCTTTTATCCAAATTAGCATAGTCAGACAATTGATTAAATTCCATTTTGATCCTCCGGGGTCAACTGTGATTCTCCCTTCAAAAATTTAATATTCCCTAAGAAAATTAATACATATTCAAAACTTAAATAAAAAATAAATATTTTTTTAATCAAAACACACACCACATGACATCAAGCACAACAACTATTGCCATTGAACCTCCAAATCCAACACCAAATAATATTCCCAGTATAATCATATGTCTTCTATTCTTTGGAGCTTGGTAGCATAAATCTAATTATATTGTAGTATTGTTCACGCTTGGAACTGATGTGTTGCATGGATGTAAGCATAATTCGATATTTCCTTCAAATGAATAGTTTGTGAAAGTGAAGAATTGACCTCCAATTGGAATGTTTCCTACCAACTTATTGTAGGAGAGGTTTAAATATTCCAAGAAATCTAAGGAAGCCAACTCTTGTGGGATCTTGCCATAAAGGCTATTCATTGAGAGGTCCAACGACTCGAGCTGTGATAAATTTTCAAGTTGTGGAATAATTTTACCTGTCAATTTGTTATGTGATATGTTGAGCACTTGAAGAGAAGTAAGTTGGCCAATTATTATAAGAATATCTCCTTCAAATAAATTGTTCGAAAAATCTATTGCCTTGAAAATCATGCAGTACTTATGTATTATCACTAGTTGCCCCTTGCTTATGATGGAGAGCAAACCGATTTGATAGTACAGACCAATCTGAATATATGAACTTTATGGTATCTCATCTACTCTATTTTTCATCATTGACTTAAAATTTTTAAAGTACTATGCACATAAGTTGCCACTAAAGTTATTGGATGAGATGTCGATGACATGCAGACTAGGAAAAATATGATTTGTTTCATATTTTCTATCAGGAGACCCAACTAGCCCGTGGAATTTATTAGATCTTAGAACAAGGACCTTGAGTGTTGAAATATTTCCCAACCAGTAAGGAAATATGTCCTTCAAGTTATTATTCCTTAAGTTCAAAATCCCAAGTGATTGATAATTTGACAGAGACCTAGGAAGCCACCCTTCTAATTGGTTGTCTCTAAGAATTACAATTTGCAGCTCACCTTTTTTATTAATTTTATTAGGAATGGCTCCACGAAGCTGGTTTTCTCTTAGATTTAACACTTGTAGATGAATTCCTTCTTCTAATAAACATGGTGGAATATAACCATTTGTCCTATTTTTAGACAAATCAAGCATTAGCAGAGAAGTCATGTTGCAAATGAATGAGAGGATTTCTCTAGTCAGACTATTGTTTGCAAGAAAAATATATATAGTTGGAAATATGTATAAGGATATGTTGGAAGAGATAAAGTTGTGAACTGATTATTTGATAAATATAATAACATAATGTCATGGAATGGGAGAGAAGGAATTGGACCTTCTAACAAGTTGGAATGCATATCGATAGAAAGATAAGCATAAGATCTAGAAGACATATTAAGATTAGGTGTTGCTAAATGTGTGAACATATTACAACACAGGTTCAGTTGAGGAATGCTCTATATCCAACTTGGTATTTCCCCTTGAATTATAATGTTTGAGAGATCCAAGATGAAAAGATGTTGATATTTAATGAATGCAGGGATCTTAGACAGATTGCAACCAGCTAATCCTAATATAACTATAAAGGGATAAGAAGACATAGAAGATTTGTCATCTTCATCCCCAGAACTTAAGGAAAATCCACTATTTTAGAGGTCTAAAAATGTAAGATTCTTGAGTCCCTTGATGAACTCCAACTCCACTAAAATTGTTTGAATCAACTGAAAGTTTAAATAGTCCAGATATTTGAAATAGGGAACTTGGAATCTGCCCCTGTAGTTTACTATTATTTGATAGGCTCAAGAGCTCTAGTTTTGAAATATTCCCAATTGAAGGTGGTATTCTCCTAGAGAATTGACAATTAGAGAGATCTAAAGCTTTTAAAAACTTAAGGTTGCCTATTGTATATGGTAAATTCCCAGAGAAATTTGTATTAACAAGATCCAAACCTTCAAAATTACTACCTTCTAAAAATTCAGGAAGAGAACCAGAAAGCATCGGATTGTTAGAAATAATAAGATATTTCAAATTTCTCAGTGAAAGAGTTGCTTGGGAAAATACCCTTTGAATCCATTATTGTCAATAGAAAGATCAGATAAAGAATTAAAATTGGCAAATGAATCAAGAATGCTAGAGTTAAAATTGTTATTGTCAAGCCTGAGAATAGATAAAAAAGGGAGGATAGAGAGAGGAGAAACTGTCACCAAAGAGGAAACAACCTATCATGCTCAATTCTGTAAGTACAGGAGTGGAATTGGCAAAAGCACCACACCATTCATTCCCGTATGCCAAGAGATCTACACCATCAAGATATAGTTCCCTCAAGTTGCTCATATTTCTCAAAAATGTTGGTTTACCAATGATAGAAAGCTCATTTATGTTTTATCTCCTTTTAGGGAAAGAAATTAAATAACTATTTTTTTATTTTGAATGGTGGAGATTATTTCAAATATTTATGTTTTATTTCTGGAAAATGATCTTGAAGACTTCAGCAATGATGTCTAAGATAATAGAGAAAGAAAAATAATGTTTAAAAAAAGAGAGAAGAAAATGAATAAGCTATGTTCAGCAAGTCGTTATGGATGATTTTCCTTCATTTTGCGGTACTTGTCGCTGTTTTGGTCATGCGTTGGGTGAATGCCGGTCAAAAAATGTTGTTTTGGAATCATCGGGTTTACCAAAAAATGTAGAACCTTTAGCTAAAAATGGTGACCCTGTTACTGTGGAACCGGTTGCTGTAGCTCTGAATAACTGTGATCTTCCTGCTTCTGATCAAGGGGAACGGGCGCTCCCTGTGGGCGAAGTGACTGGATTTGTGGATTCTTTGGTTATTTTTAATTCTTCCGACACTATGTCCCCTATGAATTTGGTTAATGATGCGAATGCTGTGCCTTGTGGCCATGTTGATAACTCGGTCGTCTTATCCCCCGATGCAGTTCCCTTTGTTCCTATGGTTACTGAGTCAGGTGTTAATGATCTTCAGTTTGCTGAGACTTATGTTTTACCTTCGTTGGGGGATTATGCTTCACCTGTTACTGAGGTTGGGGCTAGGTCTGTTGTACCGGCTGCTCTATCGTCTGATATTGGAATTTCCCTTTTACCGGTTGTGACTGCTGTTAGTGATCCTGAGCAAATGCTGGTGGAGAAATTGAATGGTAACTTGGTGTGTTCCAATAATTGTGTTGATGTCCCTGTACAAGTGGTGGATACGCTCAATTTGGTGAATTGTTTGGGCGATAAGTCTGGCTTTGATATTAGAAATCACGTTGATTGGTTACATGGATCGTCCGACTTTGAATCTGAATCTGATCATTCGAATAGTGAATTTATTTCGCCGGATTTTTACGGTGGCTCTGACCCTGGTAATGACTTTACTTTGGTTTGTGAGAGACCTGGTCATTCGATTGCCACTCGAGGGAGAACTCGTGGAAGGGGTCGTATAAGACGATAACTTTTATGCTATTTTTCTGTTTACTTGGGCTTTGGATTTCTATTGCTTTGTCGCGAAAGGGAAATGATGTGGCTGGGGCTCGTATCTTGTCGATTTGCTGGTGGCAACCTTTGATGACTTTTGTTGAATTGGTTGGTTTTCGGAACGCTTTTTCCACTTTATCGGATGGTCCGTGCAAGACGTCTGGGATACTGGAAGCCTCGGCCGACTACTGAGCCCATCTTTTATTGATTTAAACGTGAAGCAATTCATTCTTGAGCTGAATGATGCACGAGCGGCTCGACGATTGAAGTCTTTTCTCCGGAACAGTCCATACTTCATGAGCTGTTGAGTATGTGATGACGTACGGTAGAATTGCAGTTGAGATCGTCGAGAATAATGCCGAGACGAGGTTGCTGTCGATAAGGCGCCATTGGGCGTACTCGACGGAACTGTGATCCAGCGGTGGGGTGGTGGTGCCGGTAAGATGAGCGGCGTACCCATTGGCCGAGATATTCTGAAAGATCTGCGACCTCCACAATGCGTAATTGTCGGAAGTTAAGGTGTAGGCAAGCAGATTCTTGATATTGGATATGATGAAATTGAGTGTTGGCGGAAGAACATGCTCGGCGGTGGTGGTGGTGGTTACCGTGGTGGATGCCGGGGGAAGAGACGATGTCGATTCTTGATCCCCCATCTAGCTTCTTGATACCATGTTAGAGTAGAGCTGAGAGAGAAAAGAGAGTCGCGAAGGTAGACAGAAGAAAGAGAATAGACAAGAAATAGAATTATTATTATTATCAGTATCTCTATAGAGCCTATATACATATGTATTTATAAGCCTTGAACCGTATGATATACAGTCAGCTGATGTGAGATATCTATTTGCTGCTGTGCTTACATTCCCCCTCAAATTTATCATCTGGGCGCCGGATGGTCAATTTGGAACAGAGGTAGTCGAAGCGAGAGCTGGAAAATGGTTTGGTAAGAATATCAGCTGTCTGTTCGTGAGAGGAAATGTGTTGAATGCTGATGTTACCGGAGAGAAGATGCTGACGAATGAACTGGAAATCAATCTCGATGTGCTTGGTGCGGGCGTGCAATACCGAGTTTTTGGCGATGGCAATGGCGGATATGCTGTCGCAGTGTATGACCGTCGGTGTAGATTGTCGCAGCTGTAATTAGTCTGCTAGGCGCCGGAGCCAGAGATTGTCCGTAGTCGCCGCGGAGAGTGCTCGGTATTCGGCTTCGGTTGACGACTTGGCGACGGTAATCTGCTTCTTGACCGACCAAGAGAGTAGGTTCGAGCCCATGAAAGTGCAGAATCCGGAGATTGACTTGCGGTCGGTGAGATCGGAGGCCCAGTCCGCGTCCGTGAAGGTATGGAGAGTGGTGTCGCCGGGTATGATCGGAAGGCCGTGAGTGATAGTCCCTTTGACGTATAGTAGAATGCGTTTGAGATTCTGGAAATCATGATCTGTCGGAGACTGCATATGCTGGCACACTTGATTAGTGGCGAAAGCAATGTCTGGAAGTGTGATAGATAAGTATTGAAGGGAACCGGCCAGACATCGATAGAGATAGGCGTCGGGAAAGGGATTGCTATCGATTGTCGCGTGCTTGGAAGCCGGTGTTATGGGTGTAGGTGCGGCTTTGCAATTCGACATGCCTGTCTCTTGAAGAATTTTGGAGGCGTAGTGCCCCTGAGTGAGGAAGAACCCGGCGTTTGTGCGGTTTATCTGTATCCCGAGAAATAAGGAAATGTGTTTGATAGCGAAGTGAGATTTAAGATCCTGAAGCAGTTGTTGAGTGTGAAGTGGATCATTCCCTGTGACTAGGATATTGTCGACATAGATTAGAAAATATATTTGAACGTTGTTTTTATTGTAAATTAAAAGAGAGGGATCGGAACGACTGAACCTGAAACCGCGATGTTGGAGGAAGGAGGTTAGCCTGTGAAACCATTGTTGGGGCGCTTGTTTGAGACCGTACAGCGATTTGTGAAGCTTGCAAATGGCATTGGGTTGAAGGGGATCTTCGTATCCATGAGGTTGTTTGATGTAGATTTATTTAGAGATTTCTCCGTGAAGGAACGCATTAGATGCGTCCAGTTGGAGAACATCCCAATTGCGGTTGACGGCTAGCGTTAGAAGCAGGTGAATGGAGACCATCTTGGCAACTGGGCTGAAAGTTTCTGTGTAGTGTTCGCCAAACATTTGGGCACACCCGAGAGCAACGAGGTGTGCTTTGTAACGGTCGATTTGTCCGTTGGGTAGAAACTTGATTTTGTATGTCCATTTGCTTCCAATAATTTGCTTGTTCGGTGGGTCTGGAACTAGTGACCAAGTCCTTTGTTGTAAGAGAGCTTGATATTCTTTGGTCATGGCCTCTCTCCATTGCGGGTGTTGTAGTGCTTGTTTAAATGTTGCTGGCGTTTCGGGTGGACCTGTATGACTAATGAGAGAAATAAATTGCTTGGGTTTGGTAATACCGGATTTTGACCGTGTTTGCATTGGATGTGGTGTTGGAGCCGGAGTTGGGTTGTGTGCTGGACGGGGGGATAGCCTAGGTGACTGAGGTTGGGAAGCATGTTCAGAAAGTTGCAGCCGGGATATGCTGGGTGCGGGAGAATTGTTGTTGGAGTGCCGGTTGTAGTTCTGTAGAGTGGATGGAGGAACGAGAAGCAAAGGTGGAATGTGATTGTCCGATTGCTGTGTGTGTCCAGTGTCTGCGACCGCAGAGGCCCGAAGGGGGAAAGTAGATTCATGAAATACGACATGTCTTGAGGTATGTATTTTGTTGTTGGAGAGATTTAGACATTTGTAGCCTTTGTGCTGAGGGGAGTATCCGAGGAACACACATGGTTGAGATCGTGGTTCTAGTTTGTTCGTTGTATATGGTTAGAGCCAGGGGTAGCAAAGGCACCCGAAGGTTCTTAAATGATCGTAGTCTGGCGGGTGGGTGTACAGTTTGTGATATGGAGACTGGAGATTAAGTGCCTTGGATGGTAGACGATTAATTAGGTAGTTCGCCGTCGATACGGCATCTGTCCAGAAATTGTTCGATAGCCCGGCGGCATGAAGTAAGGTGCGGGTGAGGTCCAGGAGATGAGGATGCTTGCGTTCTGCTAAGCCGTTTTGTTCCGGCGTATGAGGACAGCTTAGCTGGTGGAGAATGCCGAGTTGCGTAAGAAAAGCTGTAAATTCTTTGCTCGTGAATTCTCCTCCACCGTCGGAACGAAATGACTTAAGAGTGACTGAAAACTGGTTTTGAATCATAGCTATAAAATTTTTGAAGCAGTTAAATGTGTCACTTTTGTTATGCAAGAAATAAATCCAACTGAATCGAGTGAAATCGTCTATGAAGATAACGTAAAACCGAAACATATTAGAATTAGAAGAAGACATAGGACCCCATACATCCGAATGGATGAGCTCAAACGAATGTGAAGTTACAGACTTTCTTGTGGAAAATTTTAATTTGTGGCTTTTCGCCATACTACAAGATTGACAATTAAAATCTGAAGAAATATGAGGAATGTGAGTGTTGTTAGATCCGATCCTGTTAAGGATCTTATTATTCGGATGCCCGAGACGAGCATGCCATATCGCAGGAGACGTGAACCTCGTTTGAAAGGCGTACTGTCCGTGATCTGGTTCTACCTGAAGCTGGTAGATGCCGTTATGCAGATGACCACGGAGAAGAAGCTGTTGATCCTGAACATCCTTAATTTCAAAGCCATTAGAGTCAAACGTGATAGAGACCGAATTGTCTTGGGTTAACTTAGATACAGAAAGTAAGTTATGAGTTAAAGCAGGGACGTGAAGAAGATGGCAGAGACGAAGCTTACGAGGTGTATTCGGTAGAGGGAGCAAACTTTGACCAAAATGTTGGATCGGAATAGTGGATCCACTGGCTGTCGAGACGGAGTCTTGCCCGTGGTAGACCGAGGGATTTTGAATTGAGGAGCTGTCGGCGGTCATGTGGGACGTGGCTCCCGAGTCCATCACCCAAGTTTGTGTAGAATCCTGATTTGGTTGAGCAAGGAGGGCGCGCGTAGCAGAGGAGTTCGACGGGGTGTAGTTGAGATTAGTCCTATGACAGCAATTGAACGCAGTGTGACCAATCTTGCCGCATATTTGGCAGACTTGTCGAGAGCCAGAGGAGTTCGGCTGAGCGGTGGACTGGTCAGATCCGGTGGAGCTTTTGTTAGAATTTGGGCGGAACTTATAGTTCCGTTTCGAGTTCTTGGAGCGATTTTGGTTTGAATTAGCAGTGTAGAAGGCTGCGGTAGCCGGAGTCTGATCTTTCTTGGATTCTTGATTGACATGAATTTCTTCGCTGCAGAGGAGCGAGTAAAGTGCGTCAAGATCGGCCGGAAGAGGGGAGGACCGAATGTATGTCTTGATGGAGTTGTAGCTAGCCGGAAGACTGTTTAGAATGTGAAGGATAATGTCTTCCGGATCTACGGAGCTTCCAGATGCTGCGATTGTATCAACTATGTTCTTTACGGTGGCCAGGTATTGTTGCATCGTAGATGTGTTCATTTAAACGTGAAGCAATTCATTCTTGAGCTGAATGATGCACGAGCGGCTCGACGATTGAAGTCTTTTCTCCGGAACAGTCCATACTTCATGAGCTGTTGAGTATGTGATGACGTACGGTAGAATTGCAGTTGAGATCGTCGAGAATAATGCCGAGACGAGGTTGCTGTCGATAAGGCGCCATTGGGCGTACTCGACGGAACTGTGATCCAGCGGTGGGGTGGTGGTGCCGGTAAGATGAGCGGCGTACCCATTGGCCGAGATATTCTGAAAGATCTGCGACCTCCACAATGCGTAATTGTCGGAAGTTAAGGTGTAGGCAAGCAGATTCTTGATATTGGATATGATGAAATTGAGTGTTGGCGGAAGAACATGCTCGGCGGTGGTGGTGGTGGTTACCGTGGTGGATGCCGGGGGAAGAGACGATGTCGATTCTTGATCCCCCATCTAGCTTCTTGATACCATGTTAGAGTAGAGCTGAGAGAGAAAAGAGAGTCGCGAAGGAAGACAGAAGACAGAGAATAGACAAGAAATAGAATTATTATTATTATCAGTATCTCTATAGAGCCTAATTACATATGTATTTATAAGCCTTGAACCGTATGATATACAGTCAGCTGATGTGGGATATCTATTTGCTACTGTGCTTACAGAAATAACCAATCAAGCTCAGTTCCTACTTTAATTGGACTTGAGATCAAATTGAACAATTTTGAGCCAATATTGAGCCAAGTTGAAGCCGTCTCAAGATTAAATCATTAGCCTAATAATATAAAATATTACTATTTTTGTTACTTGCTAGAGCATTTGAGCTAGTAGAGTATGTTTTACATCTTAGCATTATAAAAATATTCAGCACATACATATAAAAAAAGTAGTAATACGAGAAAATTTTTTTATGTGGAAACCTATAAGAGAAAAAATCACAGAGCCTAACCCAGATTCAAAATCCATATTATATATCAGAAGATACAATAATGCTTTCTTCCACACAATAATATATATATATATATATATATATATATATATATATATATTTAAGTAAATGTATTGAAAAGTCAAAAAATTGTGAAAGTGATTTTGAAAGTGGATATCACATTCCAATTTGGAATCCAAAGAAAGGAGATATACCTAAAAGGATTATTCTCTTTTATTGGGAAAGCCAATGGATGATCAATATCAAATAGAAAAGAAAATACCCCTTTTAGGATGAAGTTTCTTTCATTTGGATATCTAAACCCGACGGACATTCAAAGATATAGTTCGTTAGAAGAGAAGAAAGGATGGAAATGGAGAAACAAAGAAAGAAGATGAAGAAAATGAAATTCAAAGAACAGTATAGCCCATTTCCAAAATCACTTGCGTTCATTTTTCAGTGATTAGGAATCGGATTTGTTGTCAAGTGGTGTCCGGCCACTTTAACCTTTCCTGCAAATTCCTGGTGTAATTATGATATTGGACATTGGGACATTATATTTGATTATTTAAAATTGATTTGGTTTACATTGCTTGTGCAGTAGAAATTTTTAGGACCTTGCATGCCGTATTTTGTTTTAGCCTGGTATTCGAATCGGAGAGATTTTTTCGTAGGGTACTGCTTAAAATCTATCTACTTTAATTTTAAATAAAAAATTTTTAGGCTCAATAGTAACTCTAACGATCTAAGAAGAAGCTCGGGACCGCCGAGATCCACATAAGCATTATTAATACTTCTCTTCCTTGTAGGCACCTCCCCGCCTGCGGGTTCTGGCAGACCACTTCACCTATGAGGGTTTGAATTCTGTCAAGGGGAAGTTGTGCAATCTCTAAGGGAAAAACCTATTTTCTAAGCCTAATTTTTTAAACTCTCATATTCATTTTAGCATCGAGTCAATTGCACAATTGCATTATATACAATTAAAAAAGAGTCTAAAATATTAAATTCATTTCTTAGACATTTTTTCAACCCGTACATTAAGTTTAGGGCGCCAATAGGAACTTCTTAGATGTCGGCCCCTAATTCTAAAACTTAAATAAACATCCCAATCCATCTTCATAAGAAGACTGGACACATGGTTTTAAAGCGCCTAGGGTGATTAGCTGGCCTCCCCAAGCCAAAGGCCTCGCGGGTAATTGGTTCCAGATTTGCATTTTCATTAGTTAGTTCAGGTCACTATTTTTATATACCCAAATAGATTTAAGTTCTGAGGCAATTTCCCTTTTATTAGATCTAAGTCCTCACCCTCTGGGAATATAATCCCAAATTTCAATAAAATGTCAACTAAATATAAAATTTCTCTTAAAATGTAAGCTCAATATAAGATAAGACTGAGGTTGCTTCTTCAGAAGTTTCTCAGGAATCTAGCTTCCTCCTATCTTCTTCCTTTAACTCATTAATAAATGTTGCAACATTGAGCTTTTCTCCTTGAAAATTTAACTACTTCTTCCTTTGTCTTTTACTTTGTAATCAGAAGGGGTATGAAATCCACTGCTTAATACGAGAGTTTTTTTAGGAGTATCCCTCCTAGGATGTTAATTAACTATAGGGGCTGCTCCTAAGAGGATTTGAGACCCCAGACTAAAATAAACCTTGTTTTTA